CCCGAAAATGTGTAATGTCAGCGAGATTGGGATCTTTCAGCCTAGCAATGAGCCCCTGTGACGGTGTGAAAGGTGAAAATCCAAAATCAAATGAAGGTTTTGAGCACAAACGACCCTGTCTAGACGAGAGTCAGCAACCACTGTCTGCTTGTAACCAGCTCGGATGGGTGATCGCTCGGAAGTCATTTTTATTTCCACATATTGCTTTACACGTTAGACTGTTACTGTGATTCCCGTTGTAACTCAGAGAAATGTCTCAGAAAATGTTATGCGGATACACGAAAACCCAATGCCACTAGGCCTTTCCTTTTTCATCACAGCAGACATAAAAAAGGCTAAACGTTTCCACCATGAGTGACGTTGGCCACATTGCTAATTTATATCTGAGTGCAACCAGTTATAATGATGTCAATGCTAAATCCAGATAAATTATGTAGGCATTCCACCTGGGACTAGTTGTATTTCAGTACTAGATATTTCGCAGTCTTCATTGAGAAACAAAAATTAATGAATGAGATTACAGTCAGCGCCTAAGCATTTGCATCCACTCAATGTCCCCTGATTGTTGCGACATCGTCAATATAAAATCTTGTATGATACTGAGTTAAAGTTTTTATGAGGTTTTTCAAGTTTCAAATAAAAGCACCAAATCCACATAACGACTTTTGCTTTTGAAAGTTGCCACTGGATCGCTCTCCATTGGCTTCCTCCGACTCACAACGATAACCCACGTACCAAAGTGTATGGGCCGGAATTCAAGCCTAAAGGGGTGGTTTTAATTCAGGAAAAAAAGGGAAGTGGAGGCTTGTGCTAAAGGACTAGAAATCATGGCGACCCATGTGGAAACAAAGGAGTGGATCCCCAACAGACAACACATTTAGATCATGGAGAGATGGCCCTGTCGAGCATCTCTAGACAGGGCAGTCCACATCGGCTGCCGGGGGGCGAACTCCGAAGTCCCTTGTGGCTGTTTTTACAACCTTGCTCTTGTTCCTTTCCACCCACAATCACCATCTAGGGTTAGTTCTATTTTGTTCTCGTTTGTTTTTAGGGTGAGCCGATTTCCTTTTAGATTTTTTTACAGGGAAAACTTGAATCCACTTTGCACCCAGCCCTCTTGAGTTGATGCAAACACGGGATGTTAAGAAAATCAAATTTGCCTTGGTTACACAGATAGCATTTGTACATAATATCCTGATTGGCGTTTGGAAAATGTGGCCGTGGATTGAGTTCACACACCACGGAAGCTCAATTTACATGAAGAACCTTTGTAATGGCTACACCGGGGCCGTCAAATTGTGTTGACCCGATTAAACCGTGAGATGACGGAAACGCAGCTACCGATTTAATGACAACCCTTTATTGTTTACTCAAGGTCGTATGCTCTCATAAATTCCGTGCCTGCCAACGAGGGACATGCGAGGGAGTTCGAATGTACTAGTAAATGTGCAAATATCTGAGTGGCATGGGAGGTATTTGCACAGAGGTGGCCGTATAAACGACGGGGACGCCGCGAAAAGAGGATGGTGCGTTTGATTGTGGCAGCAATGTTGATTACTACTTTTCATAACACCTTCATTACAAGATTACCCTCGCAGTAAAACATGACCTATCACGAGATACTCTGTAAATTAATTCTCCACAAAGAGCTGTCTTAAGTTACATCATCTGGATTTTATCTAGTTCGTTTCACAGGGTCCAATTACATCTGCGCCACCCCTTGTTCGCTTTGGCTTCGGTTCGGCTTTCGTTTGTAATGACTGCCTTTTGCATTTGATAATAAGGGTAGTACTTGCAAGCTGTAAGTACGCTGAATGAATTCATCTGCTTGTAACCTTCGTTAAGACTGTAGGGATTCGTGTTGATTCATGTCCAATAACCCGGTCCTCGCAGCTTCCAGCACACGACCTGCCTGTCAGTCACGTGAGGCCACTGGTTCATGAACCACTCTGCGTGTCTCACCTCCACCCGTTTTAGTCATGTGACCCCACAGACAGCTGCGTTTATTTTTGTACATGTTCACTGAACCGTAATTGTACACGAAACAACTTGGTTGAGCTGTCTAGTAAACGGTTGTGCATTTCTCCACTCCGGTCTTCTTTATTTTATCGCGAACACAGGTAACGTATTCGGCCTAGATTCACGCAGTGGCCCCGGCGTGGTTCAAGATCTCAACGCCTTAGACACCAAACTTGACGTTAAATAAATCTTGAAACATGGGACATGGTGGACTTAACCTGTCTGACCAAAACAATGGATTTTCGTTTCTTCGTTTACTATAATTCACAAATTTATTGAATGCGTTTTGAGTTCACCATCATTTTGAGAGACCTCATTTGCAAAGCCTACCATAAACACTATTGTTAATTGTCATCTCCCGTAGTACACGACAGGCATCTTCCACTAGGTTACGCTTTATAATGCATCAAATATATGAACATGATTCCCTGAATCTTACAAGCGGTAGTACATTTATCCATGTAAGTTGGTAGTCGAGCTAAATTTCTAATTTCAACGTATATCTTGGTGAAATCGATTATTTGTCATTATAAGTTAATTGTTTTCCTGACTAAGATCGTCTATATATTCCATAGTTGATGTAGCTTATTGCGGACCTGTTGACATCCGCATTCGAAGCTAATTTTTTGTCATGGCAAACACGACTGCCTGGCGGCTGTGGCTTCATGCAGTGAGCGACACCCGCGTTGCAGCTCGGCCACGTGAAGGCGCTCTGTGCGCGGCACACTGGCTGTGCACGCGCCGTGCACACCCAAGAGTCACGTGACCTTGAGCCCTGGATTTTGCGGATAACGTGAAAGCGTGGACCCTAGTTTTGTATTGACCAATTAAAGGCCTCAGAGCCCTAAAACACATAAGACTGCCCTCACAAGTGCTGTCAACACCTCACCAACGAAAACTCTATGAAACGTTAGCACGTGTTAATTTATTAGGCTTCTTTGCGTGCATGTTTCGGTAAAATAAAACATGTGCACACATGTACCTGATACTTGATAGCTGAAATTGAACTGATATATCTCTTACCATCTTGGCAGGACGGCCTCAAGTTGCTCCCAGCTATGGCAACTTTATGTTCTCATTGAAAGCGACCG